CCAAACATCCCACCATCAAATCATTTCCAACTGGACACCTGTTAGTGCTTCTGACTGATTTAGCAAGGGCACACATCACAGCATTTGCTGCAGAACGTGTTACAGGAACTCTTTACTAAGCTAGAAGGGATGACTGTAATACCTCAGCACGGATTCTGGAAACAACCCCCAGACAAGTGCTCAGAAGGCAATGTCCTTGGAAGGAAGTTACCCAGTTCAACTGAATCCTTTCAGCTCCTTCTCCTAAACCACAAACCTCCAAACATTGTCAGAAATAAGATATGGCGATCACTTCTCCAGGGCAATATAAGACCCAGAGACTGACCAGTGGCAAGTTCCACTTGCCTTAAACAAAGCTGTCAAATAAATGGGTTTTGAGGCAAGTACAATGTGCTTCTCCTAGGCTTACTAGAGGATAGACGTGATTAAGAATACTAAATTAAATACCCAATAGAGTGACTAAAGGAAGTTTTTATTTCCTCAAAGGAGGTCTGAGGGAAACAATGCTTGAAACAGGAGGGGTCCAATGAAAAGAATTTCAGATTTTTATATAATCTCCAGAGAAGTTTCAGAATACATTGTGTGATTCAGAAAGAGAAAACATAAGAAATTCCAACCTCTGCTCTCCAACAACATGAAGTGACAATGAAGATTGGTGAGAGGCTGAAGTTTCAACATTTCTAATATCTACCAAATACCTGGTATCCCAGAAGCCATTATGTATGACAGGACTGGAAAGGAAGAAATACTGCCACTTCAACTACTACAGGCTTATCATAGTTAGGAGCGTACCAAAAGAAACGTCTGTGCTACACTTAATCCCAGTTCTAAAAACAGTGAACTGTCAGATGCAACCTTCTCTTACACCTCTCTTACATAGTTTGGAACCTGTGAATGAACGTGAAGAGCTTGCAGTTGAACAGTGAGAAGAAAGCTTTTTAAAGAAAGAAATAAAAATAAGGCAAGTAATTTTAAGCTACTTCTTATTATTCTCCCTCAACATTAAAACAACTGCTACATAAATGAAAAACTACAAAGTCTTTCAAATGTACATTCAGCTTTTAAGACAAGACAATCCTCATCATAACAGGACCTACTGCTTCCACCATAAGAAACAAAAATACTTTTCAAATAACTAATTTCAAGTTGCTATGTGATCAGTTACTACAAACGCATTAAATGTGGTGTACTATGAGATCACCGGTACGCAACCTCTCTAGGTTTACCTGGTCTACTGAGGTTGTATCTAAGATCAAGGAAAGTGAAATCTAGGTTTCACTTAGGAACCTAGGTTTTCTAGGTTTACATTTAAAGTTTGAGGATTAATATAAAAGATTCTTTTTCAGCCATTAGCAAAGGCGTCATCTAAGAAAGTTGAAAGAGATGGATTCAGGTAGCATGCTGGGACTCTTATTTTCCCTCTCTCTTCTAATCCTCTATCCTATGCCCATTTCCAGCTTTAATTTGCTTACTACAGACAAATGAGGAAGGAACTGAAAAGGCACTAAGGAAAGCTTGCACTCATGGACTTTAAACATGCTTAAAATTATCAAAGTCAATAACATACAACAGTGTCCATGTACAGGAGACACTGAACACTCCCCAAGAGCTATCCCTTAATCTTCCATTTGTTAAAAATGTTTCATATAGGTTAAGCAGTATACCGCAACCTACACGGCAAGACTCCGCTACTACATATGGGTTTTGCACACTTCAGTGTTTAGAACACCACAATACACCAACAGTAAAAGCAAAATAGCAGATTTCAATTTTAAAACAAAGGGATTTGCTGTTTGTGTAGGTTTATTTTTCTGTGCACAGATTTCTGTGAAGACAATATGCAAATACTGAAAACATTTCTGTGCATTCACCTACACAACCATATTCTCTTACAAACTTTTTAGAACACAACTCCAAGGGAAAAGATCATCTATCACTAGGAAACATGATCCCATTTTCTGATTTTACAGACAGGAAGAGGATTCCTTTTAAAAAATGGCCCTTTATGATCTGGCATGAGCTGGCACATAAGAAAGACCATAAAATTTCACACAGTGGTTCCTGCTACAATTGGCTATGAAATCCGTATTAAATACAGCTTTTGATTCACATCACTTTTAGTATTTGTTTGCTGTTGGAGATAGCAGGTGCATTTGGTTTCTGTAAGTGGAATTTATTCTACAGTGCTATCCTTTATTTTTTAAATTAAGCTGAAAACAGGGCACTCTTACGATTTACCAATGATAAAAATGCACAGCTCAAAGAAGTGATGTTTTAGAGGTTTAATACATTAAAAAAAAAAACAAACCAACAAACAACACCTACAGGACATAATTTTTAAGTGATTAATGCAGAACAGAAGTAATTGGATCTATGAATTCAGTCAGGATGGAACTAAAAGCAAGCAATTAATATTACTTGTGCTCAAAGAATATTTCACATTTATCTTTTCCATGGATGAGAATACTGAATAAATGAACCATACAAATTGCTAATTACAGACCTTCAGAAGGAAAATTTTGACTTCTCCAGAACAAAGGTCAGATCATTAAGGAAAACAAAGACAGTTGTACAACCCGTAACATTGACTGTTATGAAGACTATATCCTGAAGATAAGGACTTGAACAAAAAACTAACCCATTTTTTTAAATAAGTACAGTTTTCATATCCACACATAATGTACAAAGAGCCAATCTCAGCCAATCTTCTTTGAAATATCACTGACCCAATGTACCTTTTTTCTTATCCATCCATCACCACACTGGAAACACAAACTAAAAGGCAAATAAACAAGCTCATATTGTCAAAAAAAAAGGGCAAGTGATGAAGCAATCCTCTCAGTCACTCTATACTCCACAGCCTACGATTCCACACAACCTTCATTCTTCAGAAACTTGTGAGCAGATGCACCTTCCTCAGGCTACTCTGCTCCACCTCCCACATATATTTTCAATTTGCCTTCCACCGCTTTTTACGGTTGTTGTAACTTAATGCTATACAGCCTAATACAACCCAGCCTACACTGTAAGTGCCACTAACTACTGTGGCTTTACCAGTGTGGCATCTTGGAGAAAGGATTTTTTAAATTCTTAGACTAATCATACCCTAAACATTTTACAGTCTTTTACTATTTCCTTTCACTTAGCACAACCACGTAAGTTGTTGCTGTGCTACTACCTCAATAAAAAACCTGCTGTGGCTGTTATTCAGTTCTAAGAAAGGTCAACATGACAATGAAGATTATGCAGATCCATTACATTGCAGGGATGTATCTGTCTTGGGAGTGGGTTTTTTTCTGCTGTGGGCATACTGTGATTTATGTAAGGACATATGTAGGACACATGTAATGCAATATACAGGTAAATTATGCATTTCAGAGGCTCTTATTCATTCCATAATATCACACACCTGAGGTACAGAAACTGCTGCAGAAATCACACTGATCTCCCTTGTTGCTCCCTCTAGGTATAACTGTGTGCAAGCACGATCCTTTATTGCTGATGAAGTCAGCAAAATGACAGTTTCCAGATCACCTATCATGCCACAGGCTGGTTCATCATTCAGGATGAACACATGCACCAACAGAGTCACATGCAGTCATCAGCTCACTCTCACTTTCCTCTGCCAGCATCACTTAGGCCCTGATCCTCATCAGGCTGTCTACAGTAATAAATATTGCTGTGAAGACTCTGCCCTGAAGATTAGGGGTTGACCTAAAAGCTAACCCATTTTTTAAAAATAAATACAGTTTTCATATCCACACATAATGTACAAAGAGCCAACCTCAGCCAATCTGCTTTGAAATACCACTGAACCAAGGTACCTTCTTTCTAATCCATCCTACAAAATGAGGTAAAGTTAATTACAATCTTGCCAGTTGAGACTGTCTAAGGGACATGAACTATGCTAGCGTTTCTCCTACTCCTGAAGTCCTTTTCTCCTCTGCAAAGAGCAAATGATGGGTGGCCCAACTGCACTGTGGCTCTGTGGAAGCAGGGGGCACAGCAGGCCCTAAAATCACAAAACTAGAAAGCTTTTCATCGATACACAAAACATTCCCTCTCTTCAAGAAAAACAATAAGGAAAAAATAAAAAAGACCCACCTGCTCCAGGGTGAATGCCACCAACCATGCACTATCACATCTTTGTACTGCATGTTCCTGCACTGCTCCGGCCTACACTTAAAGAATTTAAGTCCTCCAGCACAGGGAACATGTTACGTGTTTGAAACAAGTCTTCTACTGTACAGCCCTATATACACTTTTGGCACTATATCAAATAATACTGACATAAATACAATAGAAAAAGCTCTGCTTCATTTAGTCACGCCCTCTCACTGGAAGTCACTGGTTCAATCAGAAACTCCCTCTCCCTTTTCTGACCCGCTTTCATCCTCCCACGTTGCTTTCATTATTGTCCTCGCTCTTTTCCAATCCCCATAAAAAGCAAATCGCAGAACCACAACTGCAATTTAAATACAGCTTGCAGTATCAGTAAATAGGCTCACTTTTGAACAACTTACAGAAAGTAACCAAATTCACTTCTTTACAGTAGTCTACCTACCTTTGCGAAAAAACTTCATCCAGTAAATCACACTTGTTCATGATGCTAAGAATCAAAGGTCTAGTCCAAAAAGGCTGTAATTTTAATTGACAGAACTCACACAGGTCTGACACACTCAGTAAGGCAAGAAAGTCAGTAATGACAGCTTATTTAAGAACAAGAAAGTGCCTAAACATATATCTGCAGATACGTTTTCCCTGCTTTTGCTTTTTGCTGCAGATACTTGCAGCAAAGATCTCAAGTATATTAAAGAACTTGGATATATCAACTTTAAGTTGCCATTAAAATGTTGGAATGGTGTAGAATGTGAGAAACATCATTAAAAAAAATTACTCCATGTATAAGATTCATTTGTATTCACATGCTATTATTTCTTTTTTATTAACTCCCTAATAACTTCGGCTCCGATGAAAACTGCAGATTTGCACACACTTACCTTAGCAACTGATAGTGTTATCAGCTTGAAAAACCAGCATGCCAACAGGATCTCAGTCCCTAAAACACAATATAATTTGGCTCAGCTATTGTAACTGCATAGGGAATATGCAACATAAGGCTCATTAATTTTATCTTCATCCGCTCAAATCAAAAAAGACTTCTTAGGAAAAGAACTGCACGTATTTCACAAAATTGGCTACTAAAAAAATGGTAAACTGCTTGCACAAAAAAGCAGTCTGAAGCACATCTCCATGTGTAACATCCCACATTCACAACTGTCACCAAAAACTACTTTGCTCAGTGTGTGGTTATTTGGATTCTTCTTGACCATCTAGCACAGTGAATTTTCCCCTGGATCTTACCTTGCACGTAACCTGTGAACAGATTATTTCACAAGTAAACTTGACTTTTATTTCCTAAGTAGTTCTATGTCCCCCTTAACCATAATTTTAGTACCTGCAAGCCTTTAAAAACCAAGCAGCTACCTTTTAACAAATTAGATTTCTAAATAAGAACAGTTACTGAGTACTAAAGCAGTGCTTTTTAGTTTAGCATCTGCCAATAACTGCAAGTAAGATTCTTGGTTTTTTAGTTGTATTAGGTATCAACTTTAATAAACCTACTTATTGTTACCTCTCTTGCCTGCTTATTTGACAAGTCACAAACCATACATAAGAGAAGACTTTTTCACCTACTTTCCTGCCAATATAGGAACCCTCCTATACCTGAGGATTTGCTCAACATTGCTTCCAATGACTGAATGCCTGCTGTTCAGAGAACAGTTTCCCTCTTTAAGTATACCCTCCATCCTTCACTGGAAGACAAGCATTCGTCTTCCGTGCAGAAGGCAACTTAAAAACACTGAATTAAAAAGGACAAAAACTTCAGGTTCATGGATTCCTTTGAATTACCACCGTTCACTGTAATGCCAAAAATACAGAAGAGAAGCAGAAATTGTGAATGATTTTGCAAGGAAGTGGTAAAGAACCATACTGAACTGCAATGGAGGAAGACTCAAAAAGCCAGCCTAACCTCACTAACCATAAAGGCAAATAAGTACATATTTTGAACACCCCTTAAAGAGGTAACAGGTTCTTGACAGGGATGGTCATTGGACAGCTTAAAATTTCTAACCACTGCTCTAATAAAGTAACAGGTTAATCACTCTTCCATGCACTTTTCCTTACTCTATACCCACATAAACAAAGGAGTGACTGCTTCCTACCAGCACGAAAACAAGGAGAACATACTAATCTGTCTCTAAGGGGCTTAATGTCCTGCTCCAAGTGTCCCAGCTGGCTTCCCCTGCACCCACCACCTGCAGAGCTCAGACCTTCAGAGGGAGCCAACTCAGCCCATCAATCTGTCACACCACTAATACACTAGGAAGCAGGAGACAGAAGGAAACCAGTGGGTTTGGTTGCTGAAAGCTGTTTGGTCACCTCAGCAAATTCAACTTTAACAGAAGCCAAAAGAGATTACATAGAAGGAGCAGCTAAGCTTGGTTTTGGTTACTTTCTACCAAGCCTGTAATTCATGGGAAAGAACTATATGTGAGAAAATAAAACACAGAGAAATCCTGTAAGGAAAATGACTGGCAAAACCTAAGTCTTAAGCATAATTAACAGATCTTACCTGCAGACTAATATTCTTACTCAAAGTTTAGCTTAGGATAGTTCTAAGACTCTGACCCCAAATGCAAACAGAACTTAATGAAAAATGACAGGTAAGTATACTAAGGTTTAAGCAGACTGACTCTGACAAGTCTTGCTGCGAGAGTTCAAGTCACCAGTCTCAAATGTCTTTCCCACCTCTCTGCTAGGTCAGGGTAAGCTAATGTGTCTGTGCCCCAGCTGCCCCAGTTCACAGCTGGAGTGTGGCTGCACAGGCAGCCGAGCTGATTTGCCACCATCAAACACAGGGTGCCTGCCAGTTTCCCCCAGCTACCCTGACCTACCCTTACACCCCCTACTCCAGCACTTGTCAGACCTTTCCACAGACGGATTGAAACCAGTAGCCCAGAACAAAACCTGTATTTTAGAAAAGGAGAGGGGTAAAAGAAAGGAAGTAAAGTGAATTTTACTGATTCAGTCATGAATCCAGTGAGTGCCAGCATGACCACAATGCAATGAAAAGGAGAATGTGACCTCCCACTTGGGTGGCAAAGCACTGTTAGAAAGCTGGTACATCCATAGCTTCACTTTAGACCCATTTCAGTGTATTTTAAATAATGTAATAATATGCACAGTAATGCAACAGTATATACAGTGCTCAGCCCACCAAAGCAGAAGTTTCAAGAGCCATCTTTAAAAATCTTTACTGTATTCTTATACTTCTACAAAACACCTTTAGGAAGTGGGGATGATTCCCTATCATCTCCTTTCTCCAGCAACTCAGTCAGTTGAGACAACTTTCTATATTGTAGAATAATTTTTTGTAAACACAGTATTATTAGTCTGCACCCTCTCCTTTTGTTCCCTTTCTTCCTCCAACTTCCATACTCAAAATCCTTCAAAACACAAAATGGAAGCAGCTCTGTATATATGTTAAAAGGAAACTGCTAGAGTTTGTATAAGTTTATTGCTATGCAACTGTGTCTCATTCACAGATTCTAGATACCTATTATACGAGCTATTATGGTGTCTAGCTCTTTAAATAATCAGATTCACTTGTGACTGGTATCACAAGTGATACCAGTATGTAAGCAAAGAATAGGTTATCAGCTCATAAGCAGGTTTCCATACAAACAGTAATTTGCAAATTGGCAAATAAAATTAATCTCTTCAGTAGATCAAAATGATGACACAAAACCTGTGAATACATATACTTTTTAACAAAGCTGTATTTGGCACCAACCTGGTTTACAAAATTACAGGGTTTCCTAGATTTCAGATGTTTTATTATTGCATCACCCAAGAATTAAGCGGTTACACTAACATTAACTGGGTGCAGTTGCAAAATGATCTGTCAGTATCCTAGAATTAATCAATCTCAAGTATATTGTTTCGTAATTAAGCTTACGAATACATCATCCCATGAATATAAAAACAGCAGCAATAAACACACATCCCAGAAAAGAGGGAGAATTAGAAGGCTCTTTTTCAGCTTTCTAGGACAACTAAATCATTTGGAGACCATTCTTCACTGTGAATCTTTTTCACTGTGGTTGTGCTAAAGGTCTCCAACTGGGAAGCATTTATACACACGTATTAGTCTTAAAGGTTTAAAGCCACGTAACTAGACAGCCACATAACTAGGTGATACTTCCTGTGCAGTTTACAAACCTCTGTTTTAATAAAAACATATATGTTTTATAATATTTAAAACACTGGAATTATTGTTGGTGAACTGATTCATAGTTCTACATTTCCAAGATATTAATTTATTCTCCAGCTACAGCCCCTGCAATAATCAACAGAACATTCCCACATATGAAAGTCTCAGAAGTTCACATGCCAATTTAAAAAATACTTGACTACTGAAAAGAGAAAAACAGGGTATGTATAGCAAGAAGGGTATTTCTGTTAAAATTATATAAGCTAGACCTTGATTTCAATTAGTGCTATTTTTAATTGCAAAACTCAAATATTTAGAAACAAATTGCTAGAAAAATATAATCTCCACAAAGCCATGATCAAATATGATAAATATGTTTAATAACTGTTGTGGTAAATGGGTCAGTGATCCCTGAACAAGATAATTAAACAGACACTCCAAAAATATACTTTTACTTCGTCTTATCATAATACATTTACAACAACCATATGGAAAGATTAAACTACATGTCTGGAATGACAGCAGGCTAACACCTTGTCATGCTTTCTCCTGGTACTATAATATCACAGTTCTCTTACGTACTTCGCACGTTCCTATTGTGCCTAAATAGCTTTTATAGGGCATTTTTCATAAGAAAAAGAAAATCTGTAGAGTATAAATGCAAAGCAGTTATTATTGTCCATTTTTTTAAATGGAAATTGTGTGAATCATACTTAATTCAAGTAGGCTTGCTTTTCAGGTTTGTCAGGTTTAAACTCTACAGAGATGCAAATTACTGGTAAAACTTCTCCCTGCATCTTAATGAGGTACACTATAAACTATGAAGCCAACTTGAAAACAAAAAGGTTTCTGAGACAAATTCTACTTGACCTAGGTATTCTAAGTGTTTAAGAACTAGTATTTAAAAGAATATTTTGCCCAACAGCACTTAACTCCTGCATGATTATGAACCTGGGACTGCTACAACACTTGTTTCCCAGAATAATGCCTGTGCTAGCATAAATTTTTGTGTAAGGATTTTACTGGATGATAAGCGTGCCTAAGCAGTGTTGCGAAGGCTCCAAACTACTGAGCTCTGAACCCAAGCTCTTTTCAAAACATTGCTCATCCTTTCAAGTACATTCAGGCCAGAAGGGAACGTAAATTGTCAAAACTATTTTGAAGTACTAAACAACTAAAGTTAGGAAGTCATTTCAGTCAGCAGCTACAAACATGCCTCAGTCGTACCTTGACTGGTTTAAAAGAGATGGCCAACACATGGCTGCTTGCTGTGTAGTACATGGAACAGGCTAATCAATAGGGAGATTTACTTCCCACAATTCCTGCCTACTTCTGCTTCAAACAGCCAGACTGAGCTCTCCAAGAAAAATGGGAAAATCGTGGACATATGTGATCATTACAGTTCAGCAATCAGATAGATAAGTGAACCCCTGAATTAAAACATGCAGATGCCTGTGCAGTCAAGTTAAATGAACAAAAAAAAATCTCATCCTGCAGAAAATCGGGGGATGACCTATATTAGAAGTTACAGCTTTGAATTCAGCATTGTAGAGCTGAATGGTAGCTTTTCTTCCATGGCCTTAATGCATTCTAGAGAACAGGGACACACTAAGCATGTCCACAGAGCAGGCCCAGTACTTCACTAACAGCTAATACTCCTTCATTGCTTTAATTTTGCAGTTTACAAAAAATGAAGCCTATGCTACAAAACGGATTAACCATCTCTGCAGTAACTTTGGAACTCATACATCAATTCTAACCAAGTTTAAAAAGAACAAAAG